AGCTCTATCTCTAGAGGTGACAATATTTTTTAAAAATTAAATAATGCAATCATGGTTTTAAAATGACTCAAACCTTACAGAGGACAGTATGAAAAGCAAATGTTTTCTCACTCTTAGCCCAATAGCCAGTACACTTTCTAGAGGGATCACTTTCTGCTTTATTTTTCAGTTCTTCTTATGGCAAGTCTAAATTACATGCACGTGAGCCTATTGTTTCGGATTCAAAAGTTAAGTAGTATATACTGAAGGAACTCATACTTCTTCCAGACTTGCGCAGCCCCTATATTCGACCTGTCCCCCACTGCATCAATCCTACTTTGAAGTTATATCTCAAGTCTCTGCACTTGTAGGGCCTTTCCTTGTCAGCAGGCTTGCCTGTACCCTGTTCCTAATTGTTCATCCTACTTCTGAGCCTTCTGCCCTCCAGTCCATTCTCCTTACTGACTCCAAATAGACTTCCTTAAAATATCATTTAGGACAGTCTCTGGCTTAAAAGTCTTCAAAGCTTAACACTAAGATGAAATTCAAAATCTTGATGAAGACCTGTGGAGTTGAGTGGGATCCACATCCTCCCCACCTCCCAACACTCTCATGCAGCAGCTCAGATACCAACTCACACACTCCAGCCACATGTGCTGTCTTTGAACCCTGAACACTTTAGCCTTTTTTTCTCCCTTGGGCCTCTCCATCTGCAGTTTCCTCTGCCCAGATGCTTCCCTTTCTTTCTCTGTGTCTCTTGAGTCAACTCCTATGCTCCTTTCTAATATTTCTTTGTCAAAGAATTCTTCCCAGAGTGCTAATCAATACCAGTTTTCTGTCCTAGCACTCCATTCTTCTCCATACTACTTCCCACAATTTGTTACTATACATTTATTTTGTAAATGTCTGTAAATTCCAAAGGGGAACTTAACATCTGCTTTGTTTTCCACACTAAATGTGGGAAACTGCCATGGTGTCTGGTCACGGAATGGCTTTAATAAAAATGTATGACATGCATGAAGGCAGCTGGGAGGGATTTCAATTAGTTCTAGGTCCTGACTTCTCTTTACCTGCAACTCTGGCTCCATCTGACTTCCTCTTTTTTACAAACTTAACATCCAAAAGTTTCATTTGTTCATCTCTGTGAGGACCAGAACTTTAACAGTCATCTCTTAAACCTTTCCCTTTAGGCCTTTCTCAGCATTTCAGTTTATATTTCATTCTCTTCTGGGAAATCCATTGCTCTTATTTTTTGCACCACTCATTTGGTGCCTAATGTTCTCTTTCCCTGCAATACTTTATTTGCTATTGTTAATTAATACCTTATATTTGCCTATTTTGTCTTGCTAATGATGTCATAGGTTTATTGTATGCAGGACCTGGTAAGTACTGTCCTAATGTACAATGCATGCCCCTGCCTAGAGTGGGTGCATGAAAGAAGTCATTGTCATTCACCCCTCTTAGTTGCCTCTATTATTAGATCTTGTGATGGGAGTTTGATCCATTTTCTTCTACTGTGTTTTCTTCAAGAGTTCTGACTGCACTGCCATCATGCTGGAAAGGAAAGGTGGGATACAGAAAATCTCTGACATCACAGAGAAGGACTCAAGGGAGAAGAGTGGACACAGTGGACTGACCTGAGTTTTCTTGGTTCCTCCTTAGCAGGCACCAGAGATATGGAGATAAGAACAATTTGGTAAGGAACAGGTGCCCTTTATTGATTATATATGTCCTAGAATATTTACGATGCTGTCTTGATCAAGATTTTGAATGTGTTGGACTTTTAGAATTAAATGAAGCACGGAGAACTACCTCCTAAAGAAAACTTCAATTATTGACTCACTTTCTCATTGTTTAATTTGTGGATGATTTAGATGCAACATTAATTTAATTCAGGAATTGTCTTTGGGATCCAAGAAGTTATTGCTTACCGTCAGTTGCCTGTTCCAATCTTGTACAAATAATAATATTAGGAATATTTAAAATACTGAACACAACTTATATATTTTGTTTTATTCTATTTTTACCAAACTATAGGGTTATAAATGCTTTGAAATGCATGTGTGTGTGTGTGTGTGTGTGTGTGTGTGTGTGTGTGTGTGTAATTTCTATTAGTCTTTAAAACAATCCTGTGTGGAATACTGAATAGCTAATATTATTACCATCTTATAATTGATAGCTCTGACACAGAAAATTTGTGACTTATTAAAGGTTATGAAAAGAATTAGTGATAGTCTCAGAACATGAGCCTGTGTATCTTGTAATATAAATTAAGAATGATTTCTGGTACACTGTACTCCAAAAACTTTATAAGGTACTTAACCTATCTTCCTAAAGCTACTTCTGAAAAATGGAGTAGAAAGGGTAAGCCTGTAATAATGCCATCTTTGTTAGCATGAAATTATTTGACATCAGTAAACATTTTTATAATTATTATCTTTTTACGTAAGATAACACAACCACCTCTAAGATAAATAGAATAGAATGTACATCTGTTGTCTTTATTTTGTCAGTGGGGAAACTGAGATAAAGACAAGCTTAATGACATGCCTGAGCGTATCTAAGCAAGCAGAGGTTAAATTCCAGGTTGTGGTGGTGAAGTCACCTTAAAAATGGAACTGCTATAAGACAATGTTGTTTGTCAGCCTGGGTTCATGGCATAATATGCAGGACCCAGTGCAAAGTGAAAATTTAGAGCCCTTTGTTTGAAAAATAAGGTAGCAATGGCAGCAAAATATTAAGCAGATTGCCCTCTTAAGTGTAGGGTTCCACAAAACTAGACAATTTGATAAGGAACAGGTGCCCTTTATTGATTAAATATGTCCTTCCACAAAGCTGGTCTTGCCTGGAGTCCCTGGATGTCTAGAATGTGGGCGTTTGAACATTACAAGGTTGTGAACTCCTCAAAGTGTAAGCAGAATTCTGTGTTAATGTGCACATGTTTGTTTTTTATATTCCATTTTATCCCATACTCAAAAGAAGTCTGTTAATGAAAGTAGGCATTAAGACCATTTCTTCAAGAACGATGTATGATCCTACAGAGACTACAATGTCAGAATGTATTGGCAGGTACAAGCGTGTGGTGGTTCTAGGTATGATCCTCCATGAGAATGTATTTGTGAGTAAGTGAATTTTTGTGAACACTTGAGAGTTAATACAAAAAACAAGCAATTTTAAAGGCTAGAAGTTACACTCAAGAAGGCATCTTCAGAAAGGCAATGGAGAGATGGGATGGTTCAGATGACCATATTCTTGATATAACTCAGTGATACCCACATATGAACTATTTATTTTTCAGCCCTTAAAGAAAGTTTCTTCATCTTTTTCTGAGGCTGGGTTATGTTTAGCTTCCTTTAAGGGAAAGTAGATTATCACATTAATTTTTTCCACTGATGATAAGACTTACCAAATCATGGCGATTTATTAGAACCAAATATTAGAAATCAGAGTAAGGTAGGAATCTGTTGACAAAACAAGTGCCAGAAGATGTCCTCAAAAAATGGGGAAAGACTGGGGCTGGAGTTGTGGCTCAGTTGTAGAGCCTTTGCCTAGCATATGTGAGGTACTGGATTCGATCCTAAGCACCACATGAAAATAAATAAATAAATAAATAAATGTAGATTTTTAAAAAGCAATGGGAAAGACCTGAATTATTAGAAACACTACAAGTAAAAAAAAAAAATGTCAGGACACTTGACTCTTTGCCAGTTAAAATTTCTTGGCCATCTCTAGAAACCTCAAATACAAATATCCCTAGAAGTTTGTTAAGATGTCACTCTTATACTTTGACAGCCTGCCTTACGTTTTTATTTAGTTCCTTTGTCCTACTCTATGGTTTCTGTACTAAATATGCACCTGAGTCAAATCTCCAACTCACTTTATATGGAAATATAGAGAAGGATAATTGAAACCACAGGGTAATTCTCAAATTTCCATTTGCACAGTGTCAAACTTCTCTGGACACAGCATCTAACCAGCAGAAAAACACCATCCACTTGGGTTTTCAGTCATTTTGCTATTCCCATTATGTCCTCCTTCATGCACATGACAGAACTAGTTGCCAAAGTCTTGCAGATTCAGCCATAACCTTGGATGCTCACACTAGGTAACTCATACATGGCAAGAAAAAAATGTTCATAATCCTACTTGCCAGGAGAAGTGACAAAGTAAAGATACTGGAAAGGCACATTCCCATAATTTCTAGAATAAGGCTGGACAGGAATTGTATCTAATTGACCCCAATTGCCCCGCGGGTACTCTTACTCGCTGCGAGCGAGCAGCTTTCCAGAAAGCCATATTCTTCAGTTGGAGTCTTCAGGAACCTGCTCTGCTGCTCTCCCCGCGCTGCCCCAAACACAGGAAGAGGTCAAAAACTTCCAACAGCCACAGACCTCACTTTACTGCCCCGATGCTTTTCAGCCTCGGATGAGCTACCCGGGCTAGTCCTGAGTGGGAGGGTCCGAACGTGCACAGCGAGGGGTGGGGCCAGGGGCGATCGAGGACGCGCTTCGGGCCGGGACAGCACGCCCAGGCTGTCCCGGGGCTGGAGGGGACCCGCTGCAGGCGCCGCTCGACACGTGGCCCCAGAATTTGCGCGCTCTCTCTAGGAATAGCGCCAGGGGCCAAGTAGGCCTATGTGGGACCCATTCCAACGCCTCTCTCCCTGGTCCCTAGCCACCTTAGCGAGGTCCTCCACATGAACCTTTTCTGGCCCTCCCAGGCTCACCGCGGTTTCACCCCTTGCGCACCCTACCTTGGCGCGCTCTGCCAAAGCCAAACGTGCCTACGGGCGAGTGGCGACTGGGGTGCGGCTGGGGGCCGCTTTAGGGGTCAGCGCCACTGCAAATGCCTCTCTCCTCCCACCCGGCTTCATGCCCACCCTCCTCGAGGTCCCGCAGGGATCCGCCCCTCCCTGCTCACCCAGCCGATCCCTCCCTCCCGGGGGAGGGCCACCCCCAGCCTGGTCTTTGCCTTGGGAGCGCGTGGGCTCAGCGAGCGGAAGGGCAGGGACCCTGGAATACCTGCTCCTCCAGCACGGGGGTGGGTTTCAACTAGTGGTCCGCTAAATCCCGGTCCTTCCCCGAGGCTACGGGAAGTACTCCAGCCACAAGGAAACTGCTCTGGTCTTTCAGCTCCCAAACGTGACACTGTATATATCCGGCTCGGAGACTGGGTGTGGGGCGGGAGGAAACCACCCTCCCTCGACCTTCCCTGTCGTCGTTGGGCGCAGAGCCGTCGGCAACCTCTGCCCGGGGCGGGAGGAGGGCTAGGGGCCGCGAGGGCCCTACAGGCCTCCGGGAGGCAGCATCGTGGGCAGGGCGGCTGTGCACGCAGGCCCGCCCCGCAGCCTCCATTCATTGAGCACAAGCCGATCCACTCGCTATTACTCCAGGGTTTTTGTGTGGGTTTCCCCCCACCACTCATTTTTTTTTTTTAATTTGGTGGGTGAGGGGAAAGTTAGCTGGAAAGGCGCCCCTTCTTGGTCTGCAAAAGGGGAGTTCTCTTGCCTTGAAAGAGAAAGATTGGGGCAGGGGGGAGGGAGGCGGAGAAGAGAGGGTGGTTCTGGTCTGAAAGCTTGGAGGACAAACCATTCCCCACCCCCTTAGCAGAGAAGGCAGCCACAGATTCCAGTCTACCCAGCCTGTCTTCTTCGCACACCCCGTAGAAGGATGCTCTTGTACCTACTCCAGACGCTGCGGAGGCGCCCTGCAATGACCGACAAGCTTTTTAAAAATCCAGGGGCGGGAGTGTAGGGAGGTGATGGGGAGGACGAAGGGCACGGTTTACTCTTACTCTGGGTTTGAAGAGCAGATATCAGGCTCTGCTTGCTTGTGGTGCGGGTGGGATAGGTATGTGGGTAGGAGACTAGGAAGGATCACAATGCGAGCTGCAGGAACAGCAGCCGGCCAGCTGCGCCCAGCAGCACTTCTCCGGATTTAAAATGCTTTTTAAAAAATTATTATTAGCCTGATAGCTTTAAAAAAAAATTGGTCATTGTGAAATTCTAAGCAGAAAAGCTGGAGCTGTCGAGAAAGACTTGTAGAGGGAAGAACTAGCACCGGAGTGGAGCCCTTGCCCTCAACCAGGAAGTGCAGAAAAATGGCCAACGCCCATATTAATTCCCTAGACAATATGTAAGGTAAATCTCTAAATAAATATGCTGTGTTAAGAGAAACCAAAGGAATATTACCCTATAAGTTGTTCTGATTCTCATTACAACACTTGGCTTTCAATTAAGTAAATTTTGATTCATGAAGGTTAGCATTATTGAAAGGAGCAACTTCATGCATTAAAAAAAAATCACAAGGATCTTGAATTCTCTGCTACTGTTAAATAATGTAACCTAAAGACACTGTGACTCTTTCCTTCTGGTGACTGCCTGAAAGCAAGGGAGAGAAAAAGTTAGGACCAAATAAATCTACTCATCACTGCTTCTTTGTCCCCCAAGAGTAAATCTGAAGGTGTCCTCAAAACATGTGACAGTCCTTGAAATGATACTGTCAAATGCTGGTGAGAAAACATAGAAATCACTCATCACATAGCACATGTAAGGTAATTGTTGGAACTCTTTGGAGAGCAATTTAGCAACACATTTTCTTTTTGTTGTTCTAGACCTTTTGATAAAAGATTCCCCTTTCTTAGAATGTATCCAAAGGAAAGGTACAAAATGAGAAATGACATATGGACAGAGTTACATATTTGTTATTGTTATATATAATGTAGAAAATAAAAGCCTACTGTCCTGTGAATTATTCGTAGGTAAAATGCAACATTATTATAAGTTGAGTACCACCATTTAAAATGACATGTATAAATGTATATGTCTCAGTGTAAGCCACACAAAATGGGTGGCTTACACAAAAGAAATTTATTATCTCACAGGTCTGGAGGGCTGAAAGTCTAAGATCAAGGTGTTCAGAGTTGGTTCCTTATGAGAACTGTGAGAGAGAATGTGTTTCATGCTTCTTACCTATTTCTGTTGGTTTCCTGGCCATCTTTAGTGCTCCCTGGTTTGTAGAAGCAGAACCTTGGTCTGTGCCTTCTCTTCACATGGCTTTTTTCCTGTTTTTATGTCTGTGTCCAAATTTCTTCTTTTCACAAGAATACCAGTTGTATTGACTCAGTCAAATGACCTTATCTTAATTTAACTAGTTACTTTTGCAACAAATAAGATCACATTCTGTGCTAGCAGTGGTTAGGACTTCAAAATACGAAAACACAGGGGAGAAGGGGAAAATGATTCAACTCATGACAGACAATAATAAAAGGAGGCAAGTTGAATGGAGGCCCTGAAAAGATAAGTACAAATCTCTGCAATCCTTGAATGGGTCTTTATTTGGAAAAAAAAATATGCATATGTAATTAAGTTATGAATCTTGAGATGGGATCATCTTGGGTCATACAGGAAGACCCTAAATCTAATGGCAAATACAATTATAGAAGAAAGATAGAAGGAAATCTGAGAAATACATACCTTGGAGAAGGTGATGTGAAGACAAGATAGAGACTGGAATGAAGTGGAACATTAAGAAAAGCTCCAGCCACCAGAAGCTGGAAGAGTCAAAGGAGGTTCTCCCCATGGCATCTGAGGGTAGCATGGCCTTCACCTTCATTTCCTACTTCTAACCTCCTGAACTGTGAGATAGTGAATTTCTGTTGTTCAAGTCATTCTATTTCTGGGATTTTTTTATGTCAGCCATAGGAAATGAATATAGATAATTTGTCTGGGGTGGAATTCTGTGTATTCACTTTTTTTTTTAAGAAGTATGTGGTCCAAGACCATTTCAAGTTGTTATTTTAATAGGGTTCTCTTAAAATTCTTAATCTACTTTTGAAGGGATGAGCAGAAGTCATGCCAAAAATTTCATCATTTTACAAACCACATCCTCCAATGGGTGAAATACAGCGAAAGCAGCCCAAAGGTGCTGGTCCTATGCAACAAGTTCTATTGTTTGGAGTCCTCACACAGGATGTATATGCAACTTCCACAAATTCAAACTCAACTTCACATTGATTAGATTAGAGGTCATTTTCCAAGAATTTACCTTAAAACCTTGCTGCTCATGGTCAATGTGAAGAAATAGATTATTGCAATAATTTCTACTTTCAAAGTCTATCTTCCCTCACACCCTTGCTCAATAGCTAACCGTTCCATTCAACCCCATAACACAAACCTTTCTTTGTATATCTGCCTGGAATTTAAAATTTAACACATAATACAAACGATATGTGCCAGACCTAAAATAATCTGTTAGTTCATTCTAATAATACCCTCAAATTTCAGGTTGTGAATAAACAGTGTTCCAAAGGAAGGTTGTCCTTCCCTAGTGCTACATGCTTAAATAAGTGCTATCAATTCGTTAACTGATAGTATCACAGAAACAGAACTTTGATTTTTATCTATGATAGAATCATAAAAATAAAAGTGTTTTATAACTAGAAAACCAGTAATTTGAGCTTACTATCTCATTTTATAGTGGAAAGACTGGACTTTATTTCTTGTTCAAGATCACTGTGTTTGTCTTCTGTTGTTGCATCATCAATTACCACAGACTTGGTGTTTTAAAACATGCTCATTTATCATCTGTAGGTTAAGTATTCAGGCATGGCACGCGGGTTCTTTCTCATAAGGAGGAAACCACAGTGTCAGTTCAGGCTGTGATCTCATCTGTGACTTGGGGTGCTTCTCAAGCTCCTCATTGGTTGTGGTTCCTTGCAGCTGTAGAGCTGAGGTCCTCATTTCCTTGCAGGCTCCTGGCCAGGGTTGCTCCCAGTTCTGAGACCATCCTCAGGACCAAACACTGTGCCCTTTCACAATATTGTTTGTTTTCTCCTCTAAAATTGGCACAATAAATTATTTTTCTCTCTTCCAATCTCTGACTCCTTTTTAGACTGATACCCTATTAAGTGAGGCTTACTTAGGATACCTTCCCTTTTGATTAACTCAAAATTAGCTGGTGTGGAGCCTTCACCTGCATCATATAACACAATCACAGCAGTGAAATTCATCATATTCACAGTTTCACTCCACTTAAGGGGAAAGAATTCTACAGGGTATATAAACTATACCGTATAATATTGGAGCCCTCTTAAAATTCTTCCTGCCACGATCTCTTACTTAGATGATGGGTGGTAGCAGTATAAGTAAAGTGCTGTTTTCTACCTTATTAAGGTTTTTTTTTTCTTTTGCATAAGGAAACTATTTTTCAGTATCTGGCCAATTTGTGAATAAGCTAATTTTAGATTTTCACACATTTTTTCTTACCTTCTTTTCCCTATAGAGATATATAAGGTTTTGAAATTATAGAATTTGCTTACTGACGATTGTGAAAGTGTAACATGTGAATGTGAAGACTAAACCCAAGTTTCCTGATTCCAGGAATGATGCATGTTGAGCATGTCTAGAGAACTTATATTGAGAATACAGTAGGGTTTCAGCTTAATCAACTAAAGCTATATCCTCCCTATTGTCTATTATGCAGACATTAAGTGAATAAGTTAATGTCAGCTGAATTATACTAACTTTCAATAGATTTGGTTGGGGAAGAAGGTAACATGCTGAAAAACATACATAATATGATCTTCCTATTAAACCATGTCAAATAACTTTGAACATATGTATGTAAAAACAGATATATAGGTCTGTGAAAGAAAAAAAAATCATGGAAGGATGCATATTGAATTATTCACATTACCTGGGTAGAGGGACACCAATGCATGTAGAGGAAGCAAGAGGGGTCCAGGCAAAGGACAAAGAAAAAGAAAAACTGAAATATAAATCAAGACATCATATGGTACTTATGCATATATGCATAACTGTTGCCCCCAAATTGGAGAAACAGACAGATACAGGGAAATCACAACTTACCAGAGTTGAAATTCATGAGCAGAAACCTCTGTGGAAATCAGTATCAAGGTAGAAATGCCTAAACTATAATTGATGAATTGCTGGAGGCTCAATATTGAGAAGTCAGAGAGTTATAAACTCTGGAGTCCAGGGTGCCCAGTCACAGGAGAGCTCTCAGCACTTTCTGAGAGTTTTACAAGCTTTATCAGCTTCTCACAGTGAATATCAAAGAAAAATCACTTGTACTTCCAGCAGGAGGCAGGAAAAAGGAACTATTTTGAATTATAGATAGAATGTTTGGTTCTTCTTAACAAGATCTACTTTGGGTTGAGACTGTTTTACTAGAGCTAATTTGTTGGGTTTTTATCAGAACCTACCAAACTGGAAGAAGAGGAAATACAGGAAATATACAATTCCTGCAAGTTCTAGTCACTGTCCCACCTTCAGAGAGGAAAAGAAACTGAGAAGCACTGGTGAAGGTCACAGTCTGGGGCATAGACTCAACAAAAGATGGAGACCTAAACACAGGACTGTGCATGCT